ATCAATTGGGGACTGGGGTTGTTCGGATAACTTATTTTTCGGATAACCAATTATGTACGAAAAAATATATTAATTTATCCCGTGTTGAAATTTTTCTCCGTTGCGTGTCGCTTCGCGTTGAATTTTCGTCGATGTTAAGCCTAACGAAGACTATTGTATCGTTAAAAATTATTTTTTTATTTTGTACAAACAAAATAAATATACTGAAAAATATATAAACAATAAAAAAGTATACTTCAAAAGTTAATTTAGTATCAAAAACGTAAAATATTTGAGTGGCCGAAGACATAGCAAAAGATTACAGTGCCACAGCACTGGCGAAAATTTAAATTTGCCGACTGGAATTCTTTCGGATAACCGACCTTCGGATAAACGATGCTCTACTGTATATTGATACAAACAGGTCTATAAGAATGTTAAAACTAAAATTATAAAATTTTAATATATAATAAAAAAAGTGATAAATTTATTGTATAAATAATTCCTAAAATTACTTAATTACATATGCCAGTGGTTCCCAGTATGCGCTGCAGTACCCTAAGATGCCAAGACTTCCTCACAGGGGTGCCACGAAATGTTATAAAATTTTTGTAATGTTAGAATTTAATGTACTTATTAGAATTTGACATAGGGTTACTTGAAAAAATCTGTATTTAGCAGGGGCACCTAGAATCAAAAAAGTTTGGGAACCACTGACATATGCATGTTTCTCTCATAAATATACTGCCATTAAACTTTGTTTCATTATTTTTATTCTAAAACTGTACCTTTTTTGTGGCATTTCTTCAAGAGCTTTAAGTGTTGTAGGATGACAAACGTAAGCTGCAAGAGCTTGTACTAAACTATCTTTTAATTCTGTAAATAAGATTTTTAATAATTAAAATATATTTCAGTATTAAGAATGAATAAAGAAAAGCTTTTATTTAATGATAAACATTTTCACTATTATTATGACAAAAATCAAAAATTAAGAATAAGCATAAGATGTAAATGTAATAGCTTCATTTGAACTTTCAGCAACAGGAATACACTTTTATAATATGCAGGGTGTAGACACAAACATTGCACTATGCTATATTTTGCATCTGCTCAGTAATAAATAAATCCAATTGCACTGGAGTATAAGTAATAGTAGTGGGCTATTTGTTGATTTGTCTAGTTAATTTTACTTTTCATAAATTTCCCATGAAAGATTAAATTGAAAAATAAAACTATTAGTATAAATGTATAAAGTAAGATGATGATAATTTTTATTATTTTATTCTTAATGCTACTCTAAATAATAATATAAAAAATGATAACATCTTATTGATTATATGAAATTCAAATTACTAGTATCTAAAGTCAAATTGAATTTTTAACTATAAAATAAACAGCTTTTAAATGTTTAAGCAGTTAAACAGCTTTCATATTTGTCTATTATTAAAAAATTGATTAATTAACTACAAACTTAACAGTTGCAAAATTGACAGAGTATTTTTATTTTTATAACTAGACATCAAGAGATTCCGATTTTTTACCATATTTATTAGACTCACCATGAGTACACTTGCTTATTAATAAATTTGCAATAAATAAAATTGAATAATTAATTCATAACAATTTATGCTGTAATGAGAAGCATATAAGTAAACATGATATACTAAAATTGGCTTCAGTCATCTTATCAATTAAATTATTATTTAGTGTACTTAAATAATAACTTTTCAATTAAAAGCAAACAATTGTATCATATACATGAATGATACAATTCTTTGCTTTTAATATATATATTTATTTATTTTGTTTTTATAAGATTCTGATCGAGAGTCACAGTAGTGACTCCCCACCAAGTAAAAAAGACACTGATTGACTATATATACAAGAATAAGAGTTGTTGATTTTTGGAGGGTTTGATTTCTCTGCCTTCCTAAAGTAATTCTGAATATCTTGTTAAAAAGTAATTGATTTCTTAGGGTGTTGTGCAAAATTTTCTATAAAGCAGTTGCCAAAATATAAGCAATTGAAAAGTGCAAAAATTGCCAAAAAAAGATGTATTTTTCTTCTTCTTTTTCTTCATCCAGTACTGTAGACACTTGTAGAGAAAACTACTGGGTTTTTAGACCCAGTAGTTTTCTCTACAAGTGTCTCTTAGCTTTTCTCGTTATCAGTGAGGGCTCACAAAACACCCATAGAGCTATTTCAGTTTTATGGCTTAATTTTATGTGGGTTGGAAATTTAATAGTGATAACAGTCCTATAAAAACCCAATGCAATGCAGCCAGTTAATGCAGCCTAGACCAGATGTTGGCTACATACCTACCTTACCTCAGAGCAAATGAACTCTACCATCCAATTCCATGCACCTCAGTAACAAGAAGAGCATGGCCTGTTGCTATTGCCCAGTCTAATCATGATGCTCTCAAAATTGGAACAGTAAAGTTGGATAAAAATAAAAAGTGCCAGAATTCATATTGCACAACAGTGTTGTCAAGGGCTCTTAGAAATTTGTGGGAAATCTGCATTACCATATAAAACAACAGCAAGATGGATAAAAGCCTTCAATGAGGGATGCGAAAATGCGAAAGATAAGCTTTGTTCAGATCATCCCTATGCAAGTGAAGAACAAGTGAATGCACATCCCTAGGTCTTACCATAAATGTACAGTATTACTCTACATTTTTAGAACACAATCTGCAGCCAGCTTTGAGAGAAATGCAGAAACACTTTCTGCAGAACTCACCATCACCCATCACCTTGAATACCAATGCTCAAGCACATGTTGCACAATGGTTGGCCCATTGTTCAGTTGCTGGGGCTAGAAAGTTCTCTACCATCTACCATATTATCTGGACTTAAGCCCCTGTGACTTTGACTTGATCTCTAAAATGAAGGAACCACTGCTTGGAAGGTACTTCAGAACTATTCCACAGGGTGGCCCACGGAAAAATAGCCTGCCTCCTATATCCAGCAGGTGCCTCACTCTGAATTAGAGGAGGTGAATTCCTGGACTTGTCCTTGTGTGATTTTTATTTGTGGGGAAATTTAAAGCAGAAATGTATGCTAATAATCTGCATACCCTGGATGAACTCAAAGAAAACATCACGAATGCTATCCACAGCATCACTGTCAAAGAGCTGAGGGCAGTAATGGCTAACATGCTGCAAACATACCCAGAAGTGCATAGACATGGATGGTAATCACTTTTAGCATCTGTTGTAACATGTGGGCAAGTCAATAAAGCTTTAGACAAGCAGTCCACTTGCTCATTCTTCATGTCTATTGGCAGGCTACTTTTCTTTGGGCCACCCTGTAGATATTTTTCAAGCAGTAGACTGCTTTATTCAGGCAATCAACAAACAGGTTCTGCCAATAGCATCCAGTGACTTCCACATCACTGACAAGTCTTACACACTGCTGGTGACTACACTGAAGGACAGTGAAAATCTGAAATGCTTTTTTTACAGATTGTAATTTCAGGGTTGCCACTATTAAAATTCCAACCCTTGTATGTGTTTAAGGATAAAATTGCATCAAAACAAATTAATTTTATTCAAAACATTACTCAGAATAACAAAAGCTCAAATTTATGCAAATTAAAACTTTTTATAATTTTTCTAAACAATGTATTGAAAGCATTGCTGCATGCAGTCAACGCTGACCAAAATTAATATTAAAATTGATTGTACAGTCGACCCCCCTATAACACAGTATATACGTTCTGTTCTTTATGAAATTGATGTTCTAAGAGTCCTTGAATACATGAGCCAATCACAGCCTGGCATGTATGCAGTTTATGGACTATGGCTGTTTGAAAGGTTTTCTTCCATAAAATTAATTGATTCAACTCAAACAGACTAATTCAACTCAACATTTCTAAAATATGTATAATTTTTTGGGAATAATCCATATAAACTATGCTATAAACAAAAAATTGTTTATAGCATAGTTTATATGAGTTTGCACCATTCTATGACGCCATTGCTTAAACTTGTTTTCATCGTGGAGCTTATCATTGAATGGCGCTCGCGTGCTTCCTGATAAATTATTTTTTTTGCGAAAAATTTGCTGAACTTTGGAGACATCATTAATATAAATATAATTTTTATGGATGTTAAATAATAAATGGTTTTTAGTAGGTCCGCTGCTCGTTTAAACTCAACAGTTTGTACAATATCTGCTATTGGTCTAGATTCAACCAATCCTGTCGTGACATGAGTCGGTGATGACGTTTTACTGAATTATACAAGTATTTTAAGCATGTTTGTATGAATACAGTCGCAACTTTTTCATCGTGATATAGGAATCTGAACTATAGGAACCCGTATTATAGAGGGAGTCGACTGTATGTCATCGTCTTGTCTTAATGTAATAATACAATTATTAAACAAAAAACAATTGATATCCAAACAAAAAAATCTGAGATTAAAAAGATTGCACCCTAAAAACTTATGACAATTTAGATGACAGTCAATATTTTTCTTAGGAGTCTTTCTTTNGCAAACACAATACATAGATATTATATGAACTAACAAGTAGAGACTTGTAAAACATAGGTAATAATATGCAGCAAGAAACCTCAAAATTTCTCTCTTAGGTGAGTCTTCAAGATGCAACTTTTCGTATAATAAATAATAGAAAGAAAACCTGACATGGTAAATTATTATTGAAATGCGAGATTTCCTGGGAAAATTAAATTTCCCGGGATTTTTCTCGTAGGGAATAAACGGCGAGAATCCCGGGAAAGAAACCCTAGTGCTAACTATTTATATATAAAATTTGTACTGTATAATAAATTTTTAGTTTTTGTATTTTAATTTATTAAAATTCTTTTAATCTACTTATAAAAATTAATAATCACTATTATTTTCATGAATTCTACAAATTAGTTTTAATTAAGAAATTTTAATCATTTAAAACAAGCTGATAACTTTAGTTTTTTAAATATTTTGATAATTAAATGATTTTATTAGAATACATAAATACAATGCATATTATAATTGAAATCAATTTCAGACTTACCTCTTGTAACATACCAATGAATTCAGAGAAAGCCCAATTTAATTGTGTAAGTACACTACTTAGAAATGCAGCTGCATGATCAGGATGTTCTAGTAACCATTGGACTATATGTTGTTGGAAAATAACAGAAGGACATGGTCCTATAAAATGTAGTATTAATACATTAATTATAAATTGATTCTAATAAAATAATAAAAAACAAATTACTAACTATGATGACTTGAGGTAGCACATTCAGCTTGTTGTTGTGATTTTAAATTAAAACGCCTTGTCATGTGAGGAGGTAATGAATAACGAAAAGCAAATCCACAACCCTAAAAAAATTTCACTATTATTATTTGATATCAAAAATAAATTTACTAAAGTTATAAACAAAAAAATTGTCATTCTAAAAACATGTAAATAAGAGAAATTTATAGATTTATTAAATTAAATTGTGGCTGTTATATGTTGATTTTATTAAATAATTATACAAATTATGATGTAAAATTAGCCCACAAAAAACAAACTGTTTAATTTTAAAATTTTCGCTGGATGATAATATTGTTAATATATAAAAAGACAGTCATTTTCCAAAAATATTTTGGAGCGATCACCATTTATTTCTTTAAAATGTTTCATAACAAACTTGAGGCGACCCGACCTTTCCTTTTAGGCTCCAAAATATTTTTGGAAAATGACTGTCTTTTTATATATTAACAATATTATCATCCAGCAAAAATTTTAAAATTAAAAAATTTCTGTGATAATTCGCCGTCAGAGGGAGAAGGATAATCTACATTTACCAGCGCAACTTTTAAGTAGATATAATGACCAGAAACTCCCGAACGAAGAAGGATGCAAGCCTAAGATGTCGTAAGGTCACCAATTCCAATTTTTCTATATTTTTACAAATTGTATATATTTTTTATTGGATTATTTCTGTGTTTTAATAGTAACTATATAGGTGACCATGTAGCCTAAAAGGAAAGGTCGAGTCGCCTCAAGTTTGTTATGGAACATTTTAAAGAAATAAATGGTGATCACTCCAAAATATTTTTGGAAAATGACTGTCTTTTTATATATTATCAAACTGTTTAATTTATATATAATTTGGTCACAGCTTGTAATTGCTATTTTTTAGCCAAATTTTTGATGTATTAAACCTTTTATTAAATAATTTCTGTTTTCACAGAAAAATTTAATTAAATAAATTTGAAACATTAAAAGCATATGAAATAAGAAAAAACTGGCTGAAAGATACTGAGGGCCATTGGAGATAGAGCTGAAATTTAAAAAAAATTGAATGATAGAGTAAGTCTAAAAACTGTAGAAAACCTATGGATATTAGATACAAGCTGTCAAGAGAATGTTCTTAATGCAAGTATTGGTCATACACTTCTGATTTGTGTGCAAAATTAACTTCATCTAATAATATTGTTTTTAAAAGCATTTACTTGAGATAAATATTTTCAAAATAAAAGTGAATAAATCAATGCATTGCTGTACTCACAAATACCTAAGAGATTTAATTAAGTTTATCAAAAAACCCATATAAAATTTAAAAAATATCACTTTTACAGTAAAAACGTTTTCATGTTTAATTACTATAAATTGCTTTAATAATCAAATCAGTATCAATTAATTACTGTTTAGATATATAAATGTGCTAACTAGGGTTTCTCATTTCCCGGGAAATTTGCCTCCAGCGGGATTACGGGAAAAATAATTTCTTTTCCCGGGATCCCGGGATGAAATAGTAAAATAGAATTTTATATAAATAAAAAAGATCATACAGGAATATCATAAATTTGAATAATTTAATTTATTTTCTAGTAAGTAACTAAAAGTGTAGGGCCAATCTCACCCATACGGACACGTTAGGCTCAATTAATTTATGTTTTCCTACATTATAAGATGAAAGTAAAATAAAGCGTTTCATTGGGAGTTTTAATGATTACGAAGAAAATACTATTTTACTTCTAAAGATGAAATAAAAAATGAACTAAAGTGCGATGAGTGATATTTACTTTCAGTAAGTCTTCCTGTTCAATGATGCGCAAACACAATATATAGATATTACATGAACTAACAAGTAGAGACTTGTAAAACATAGGTAATAATATGCAGCAAGAAACCTCAAAATTTCTCTCTTAGGTGAGT